ATTTAAATTATTTGGGAAAGCTTCTTAAAGAATAGCAATGTGTCATTTGTTTAATTCGTCATAAAATTTATTCTAAGTTCACTTTCAACATTATCTTGCAAAATTTTTAAAGCGCTTTCATAATTAATCATTACATGAATAATCGAAGTTCCATAATATTTCGAAGTTTCCACTCAATGAAATATATGAATTTCAATTCAGTGAATTCAAATTCATTTACTTCCTATGGCATTTACTCAATAAATCGTTGCTATTCTCTTTATATCTTTAAGCTAATGGGTAAGCTGGCCATTAATTTATATTTATTATTGTTTCCCATAAATGTTAAGAAATTTGTTCATCAATTTTTTGGCTCGTAATATTTTTGTTCAATTTTGATTGAAATTCTCAACTTGTAGGTTTGAGCCCCATGGCTTTAAAAAGTGCTAAAGATATTAATGCTAACTCTCAACTAGAGCAAAAAAGGTGCTAAAGATATATTAATGTTCTTCAAATTCATCAAGTTTGACAACCAATTAAATAGTTGAATCAAAAATTCTCATGATTTTTGCCTTTTGTTTCAATGATTTTAACTATAATTATTACTAAAAAATAGAACATTTTTGAATTTTAACCCGTTTTTTTTCAAAATTAAGGATAAAACGTTAAAGTTTAATTTTAATATTCAGAAAAAGTTTTACAAGTAATTAGCTTAATCAAGTGAGAGAACCAGAAAAGTCAATAGCTTTCATCAGTTATCTAGCAGAAAACAACTTTGTAATGTAAATTTGGCTTAAAATTTCATTTTTAGTGTATTGAATTTCAGTTGACTATTTTTTCAAAAGTTTTGTTAGAAATTTTTCTTTTCACTCAATGAAAATTTATTTCCAGAGCAAAAATGAATGATTTTGACTTTCAAACACTATTAGATGGAATAAATATGTTGACATAAAATTACGAATGATCTCAAAACAAGTTTAAAGTGATTAGCTTATAATCAGTACTAACTTGCTTTCTTCAATCATACTAGCAACTTATAATTTATCAAAAAGAGAGAAAGAGAGGAAATTTTTGCATCACTCTCTTTTGATAATTGCTTTCTTCATTAGTTTTGATTTTTTAGTTCTGTAAAACTGTAAATTAAATCCTTACTCAGGCCGCTTTCTGCTAACCTCTAACCTTGTCCACTATATGTTCTATATAAGCTATACTCTTTTATTTTATTAATTAAACTAATACTAAAGTTAAATTTCTGAAAACCTTTAGATCTTTTGAATTCTTAATAAAATGCTGTGGTTGTTGTTTACTACGGGATAATTAATTTATTTCATTTCATTCCACCTATGCATATTTTGCACGAAACACGTAAATCACTTTTACAAGCATTATTTCATCGCTGTGTTTCGTTGTTAGTAATCAAATGTTGATCGATTATTATTACAACAAAAGTGATTCTAACTGACCGTCAATAAAAGCTGAAAAAAAGAAAAATGTATGTCATAATATGAAGATATTGCATGTAATAACAATTGATGTTTTCATCAAAATACCATTTTATATCGTGATATGATGAATGCATATCATATCATATCATATCATGTTACATTATATATTATCAAACTTATGTTTTCTTTAAATATTCTAAATAACTCCTATATCACGGAATAATTTTATCTAATTTTTGTGTTATAACCTTGCCGTAGTGAAATGATTTTACAACTTATTCCTACAAATTCATTTTTAATCTTTATAATTAAAAAAAGGAAAAGGAAAACGAAGGAAGAAAAGAATTGTAGGGCGCAACAGGGAATATCAACGATGCCAGTATATGGTCCGGACGGTCGAACACTACAGAAAGGTGCAACCGTAACAAATTCATCACCACGGAATAGCACTATGTAGGCTCATTAATACATATTTGTATCCTTTGGATTAATTAGAAATTATGCTGAAATTTATACAGGTAACTTCATTAGGCTATATTTATTAGTATATTAAATTTGTAACCTATTATGGTATCTTTTTAGATATCATACTGTAATAATTTTACAATTCCTAGTTTTTCAAAAAGTTGACTAATTTTCCACTAATTAATTTAAAAAAAAGGTATTTTCTTTTCGTATTTTCAAATGGCAATAACACTTTGATAAATTTGAAATGTGTGTTAGAAATTAATAAATAAATGCAATTATTTACTTATTTTTAACATTGTACGCACAAATTTATCAAATTTTTCTACACAATCTTTTATGATAAATTTAATGCTTTATTTGCTACTGTATTTCATTTTGTTAATTTAAAAAGAAAAATAAAGAAACAAAATATTTCGCAATCTGAAAAATTTTACTCTTTCAGACTTTCAATTTTCCAATATTATGATTTTGTTCATGGTTATTTTTATCTTCGTTTTGTGTTTGTATATGATAGGAATTATTTCAAATAGAAATATAATTTCATCATTGGCCAAAAATTGATCTGTTCAGAAATTTTCATATCAATTGCACTTAATTTCTTGCTCTTTTAATTGCTAAACAAAAAAACGGAAATTAATAAAATCTTTATTTAAGAAATAAAACAGAGAAGAAAATTTTCAGAAAAAAAGTTGTATATAAGTGATGGTTTCGAAAATTTAAAAAGTTTTGAAAATTAATCGATAGATTTATATCTAATGTTATATGTAACCTTGAGTATTCAATACGAGGATAATATCATGTTTCTTTTTTCAAATAAATTATGAAGTTTTTTATTGCAATTTGTAAAAAATATTTATTTCTTTACATATCTTTCGATAAATTTTATAAATAAATTTTATTATACTTTTTTTGCATTTTTCAGCAATGACATTGGTCAATTTGATAAGCGCTGTGGGCGAAGTTGTGATTTCTTGGTAAAGTCTAATACCGATGAAATGCGTTTATTTAACAATCCTATTGCTCAGGTGAATAAACTTTAAGATTAAGGACAGACACTCCATCTCTTTTTTGGCACGCAAGAAAGACTTCAATTGAAGAAATTAAAGAAACATTTGTTATCTGTCTCCCTCTTTCTGCTTCTCTTTCTCCTTCTTTCTCCTCTCTATATCACATGTGATAAGTTTTGAATTCAGAACATGTTCGCTTAGTTGGAACATTCTGTATGGTTTTAGAAAAATAATACTTCATAAGAAATGTAACATTTTTATCAATTTTGATCGATTATATCCTTTCTGCTAAATAGTAAGAAAAATTATCGAATCGAGTTTTTTATTGTATTGAAAATTTTTCGAAAAAAATTAGAAATAAAAACTAGACGAAATATATCTCTATTTCAATTTTATTCTAAAAATTAATCAATTCAAAAGAAGTTTGTACAAAAGAAAATTACAATGAGATGTCCGAAAGTATTTGAAAAAATATGACACATGTCAAAAATTGAAGATTAAACTATTGATTGCATTCTTACTCATTATCTATTCAATCACAAATTAATCGATATAATTACCCTCAAAAACAAATATTTCACAATTCTACCATTTATTTTATGATGCGATGAATTTTGCTGAGTTTGCTTTAAAGAAAATGAAAAAGTCAAACATACAAATAACTTATCAAAAACATTCATTACTCTCTTTTAGTTTTTAAATTTAAATTGAAAAAAATTTCATTAAGAAATTCTAATTATTCTTTCTATTAGAAGAATTTTTTAATATTTTCTCAATAAATTTCAACAAATTTAATTTATTTTGAACAAAGAAAAACTAAGCGGAATATTTGTTTTCTTGCTTTCCTTCTTTCTATTCCTTTTTTTAAATTTTAAATCAATGATTGTTACAACTTTTTCAAACAAAAATATTTTTATGAAAATATTCCATCTTTATTTTTTCTTACACTTTCCATTTTTATATACAGTTATTACTGGAAAAAATTTTAATTAGATTTGCTTTTTAACTATTTGTGCATGTTTATAATTATTTAATGAAAAAGCATGCAAATATAAAACAAAGAATTTTATTTCAATAATTTGTTTCATATCAGTTGCAGTAAATAAGATTATCAATTGAAATGTTAAGCGAAAATGATACTTTTTTTCACATACAATTTTTAGTTTTTTTTGCAAACAATAATTTCTTTGTATTCAATTTTTGTATGCGAAAATATAATTTTACACTTAAATTCTTGGTAATTTCACATAATATAGTTTTATATCAATTTCTCTCCTAACACTTTTTGAATATTTCTATCACTCGCTGAATTTTGCTCTGAAGGCAAATGAAACAACACAGTTTTCATATTTCTGATGTACACCTGCTAATAAGTTAGTCTAATTTATTGATTGATTATTAATGAAAGCATTACCATAGCTTACCTATCAAACCCTTCCATTGATTTCATTCCAACAATAAGAACCTTTTCGAGGAATATCAAAAGTTAGTCATCAAATCTGAAAAACAAAAGGTAAGTGACGGAAGGGTTTGAAAAGAGCGGAGAGGTTGAAAAGCAAAGAGGGTTCAATTTTTTATTTTTATGTTTGTCTTTTTCGGTCAGCTACGACTCTTATCGTTTTAACTTTCATGCAACACTTTATAAGAATGTTAATTCCATCAAACAATTAAATAATTACAGAGTCAAATTTCATTATAGTTTTAGCAACTATACATATGTATTCGATGAAGTTACTAGCTTAAGTAGAAAATAGTAAATCAAAATTTCAGATTATTCTTATTGTAAAATTTTAGTTTTTACATAAATAGATTATTTCCTGGTAAACTTTGCAAAAATGAAACATAGCTTAATTTTAGGTTAGCTCGGATATTTTACGTATTAGCGGATATACAAATCAATTCAAATCGTTGTTGAAATCGAGGTCAGCATTACACCGCGAATCCGGTCCCGGAACAGTTTTACAGGAACTGGAAGATAAAGGTAAGAAAGTGTTGTTTTTTTAAAGAGAAAAAGCTTTTTTTTGAACTTAAAAATCTATTTCAACGATTTCTAATACATTTAATACAAATTACATCTATTAATATGGAACTATTTTAATTAACAACATTAAATTAGGCAATTGTCTATCTTGCTGCAAAATTTTTGCCAATGCTTAAAATGAACAAGTGAGTAAATAGATTTATATTAAATAATTAGTGGTAAACAAATAAGAGCCAAAGTAAATTTGGCTATTTTAACCTACGAAGTAAGTAAGTAACAATTTTCCGATCCTTTTATTTTATTTAAATATATGTTTTATTTAAATTTAACAAATTTTGCTAGGTAGAATTAGAAAGTCTGGAAGTCAAACTTCATTGTATGATTTTCATAAAAATTTGTTGTTTTATTTGATTCAAAATGCTTTTACTTGCTACTTTCGATTCAAAAAGGTCAAAAGTCGTTGAGGATCTTTTTTCTTCCCTTCCAAAAAAATATTGCTAATATGGTATTTGATTTGCTTTTATTTAGCTAAAAAAAATCACTGACTCTATAATTAGTCACTTTAAAAATTATGTGTTACTTACTTATCAATTGTTTAATCAAAAATTTTAAAAATTTTAAATGCTGTATGTTATTATATTTAATATTTTAATGATAAAATAAAAAGAAGGAAAATTAGAAAAAGATTTAGCACACTGAGAAGGTATCTGTAGTTTTTTTGCAATGTAATTTCGATATAAATTTCTAACTTTTGCCTATCTATTCTAAATTTTCAATAGTAATAATGACTGCATATTGAAAAATTTAATAAGTATTAGCACAAAATCTGATATATCATCGATATTATGAATTATAAATATTCATCTAAAAAAAAGATTTGAGTCAATCAATTGTTGATAATTAATTACTATATCTTTCATTCTATATAAATTAATGCAAAGAATGACACAAAGTCCTGTTTCTCTCTCATTCCTTGTCTATTCTTCAACATTTAACTTTTTTGAGAATTTTTAATGACTTTAATACATGATTTATAAAATTTTCTCTAATGGCAATCATTTTTATTTCACAGATTAAATTTTACATGGGGCGAATTATGATAAATACTTAAATCATAGTTTTCATCTTTTCATAGCAAAGTTCATGAAAATGCATAAAAAACACAAAGCATTAAACTTTCATAATTTTATAAAAATCTTATAGAATTTTATTCAATACTTCCTTTACAATAGAAAAAGAGAAATTCCGAAAAAATATAGATTTTTCTGCTAAAGTGTAAACACATCAATCGGTTTTTCTTTCCTTTTTTCTTTTTTCTTTAAATCTCCAAATATCGGCATTTTTCTTTGATGTAATTTTTCCATGTATTAGATCTATTAGTTTAAAGCTATCGATACTTGAACCTTCGGAATTTAACACAATTAGTATTTTGGATAATTTCTTTTTTACGTTTCATACTGCATTTTCAGGCACCGACTTTTACTATTGCCATTAGTAGGTCACTTAAACTTAAAGTATCGAGAATTTACTCTTTTAAAGAAAAGGAAGAACGAATTTTTATGCAAAATGTAAATTGAAAAGTTATATCCAATAAAATTATGAAAGTCATGCATGCTCGATGACAATTTATTAAAAGATAAGAAGTTTTTTTCTTCTTCTTTTAAATCTTTAATATCAATAAATGAAAAAAATTCTAAGGAAATACAAAATTGATTTTCCAGAAATATAAATAGTTTCTTTTTCCAAATGCTTCTCATTAAATATTTTCTTTTCAATAAATATTAGAAAATGTAAGTTTTCTTATAACAGAAACTTCAACTTCTAAAACAAAGTATTCTACAGGTATTAATTACACGGCAACGAAATTTTCATTCTTGAGACGGAATATTCCATTCCAATAATCTTTAATATTTGGTCCTGAATTTTTGGCAATTTTTGATACAATTTTTTCCTGTTTTATGTTTAAAAGTTCAGCCATTGTTGCATATTTGCAAAATTTACAAGCAAATAGCTTTTTTTCTTTTTTTCATTTCTTTCTTTTGTCATTTCTAGAAGCTTTTAAATGTCCTATGCTGTTGGAGAAATGTTTTTTTGACGAAATCTTCATAGTATCACTCATTAATTCTCTTGAAAATTAGCCTTAATGATTAAAAGATGCATGGGTTGCTTCACTATTTTCATCTATTATTGCAAATTTAAATTTATTAGTCCAATTAACTGTTGCTGTTTTTGTAGTTTTATAATTTTTCTTCCTCGTCACTTCCTTCAAGATTAGCATCCTATTGTTCATTTAAATCGGAATGATGTTACTTTCATCTGATAGTCTTGATTTGCCAATAAAAACAAATTATGCTAATTAATAAAGAGAGCAAGAAACAGTAATCGAATTCGTCAGATGTGTTTCTGAAATATTCCCTTTCGTAGTGTCATTATGAAGAGACGTCAGGAATACCGGCGGTTTCATCGTTCATCGCAATTTATTTCTGTCGGAAGCATTTTTAGTCAACTAACAACGATTCATGGAAGTTATACATGTAGGAGTATAAGTTAAATATTGTATGGTTTGATAAGTAAAGTGACCCAACCTGAACTCAATTTAATCTAATTGCTGTTTATCACGTAATAGGTAATTCACACTTGACATGAGATAATTTAACAAATCATACATGGTTAAGGTTAGATAGTAAGAAAAAATGAAGTGAATTTTACAAAAGCAAAAATAGAAGTAATGAATAAATATTGCAATCTGCTGAATTGCTTTATGCCCAAATTCAAACAATGTTTGAATTTTTAGCGTGAATCCACGTCATATGTCAAGTTATAGTAGATAAATAATTAATAATGAATCATTGCACAAGCAACTTTTGATAAGTTCAGGAAAATATTATAGAGTCTAAGTAAAGGAAATAGATCTAAAATCAAAGTAATTCAAAGTTATTTTTTTAATTTGAAAATTAGAAATTTTTCCTTTTAAATTATATCTTAAATTTTTATCGGTGTAATTTTGTGCAATTTTGGTTTTCTTTTGTTTTTTCAGATGAATATTCAAACGGTGGTCTACGTTTTGATACAACCGTTGAAAAGCAAGATTCAAAACGAAAAGGAAGTGCGGCAGTGCGGGTGATAAAGAGACGACAGAGCGGCTATGGAATTGCCATTAGCAGGTAATACTACTTCAATTTTTAACAGAAGTTTAAATAGATGAAACTGATGAAATTATTTCAAATCAATTAGCTTCAACAGCTAATACTAACTTATAAATTCAATTTAATGCTAAAAAGATGATATAACGATGCTGATGAGTATAGTTGACAGTGATAATCGAAAAACGATTCTCATAATAAATAATTAC